CACGCCACGATCCTCAATTGATCCATCCATCCTTTTTTGTCAATGGCGACCATTCTTCCACGACATAGTTCCTCGACTCGGCCAACCTTGATTGATAAAAAACATTGTTTTCTTCCGTTGCAACGCACGGGCATTTGTGCTAGTTCTAAATAAATCGAATAATACACTTGACGAGGTTTTTAAATAAAAATAAGTCTAAAAATATATATTCTTAAAATGCAAAATAATTCAAATAGTCTAACCTCTATATATACATTATTAATGTGAGATAATTAATAAAAACTATAGGTTTAAGTGACTTTTGGATAATTGCTATGATTTTACGCCTATTCGTGTACTGTTCTACGTAACGTGTCAGAATTCTACCTATTCATAAGAGACTAACTATCCCCCTTCCCATTTAGAGAATACACCATGAAAAGGTGTATCAATTTTATAGACGGTCGATACAACCAGAATCCATATGATTAGCAATCGTACGGGCCACGACTACAGTGACACCCAACTCGACTTGTATAATCTAAGGGCATCTCCAGCTGCGCCCCAGGAAGACCTTCCCAGACGATTTTTTCGCGCCGGCGCCAAAAAAACGGCCCAGTCGCGTTCCCAGGAGCCCAATTTTCGCCGGCTTGGGCCGAAAACAGTGCCGGCGGACTCAGGCCGAACCCGGCGCGCTGGGGGGCGCCCGGGGCGAACTGTTTTGGCGTGAAACAGCCGCGGGCCCGCCGCGTCAGCGACACGGCGCCTCGTCTTCCCCTAACGGTCAGCCTTGCCATTGATTCCTCACGGGCGACGCGTCACGGGACGGCGCGCCGACGCCTCCCCTCCCTCGCACGCGTACACACGGGTGCGGCGCGGCTATATAGCCGGTGGCCTGCACTCGCCTGTGCCCTCACCAGCCCCGCCCCTTGCCGCCGCCCAGCTCCTCCCTCTCCCTACCTCTCCCGAGCGCCGCCGCCCAACCCCTCTCTCTATCTCTCTACCTCTCCCGAGCCCGTCACCATGGCGGAACGCTACCCCGAAGACGAGGCGGCAGCCAACAGCTTCGGCCGCCGTTCGCTCCGCGAACAGGAGTCCTGGCTCCTGTTCCAGGCGAACATCCCGGCGCCGCCGGACATGCGCACCGGGCCGACAGGGTGGAGGCTCAGCGCCGGGGGAGTGCCCATTCCCCCGTTGCCCGACGCCGTGGCGAAGCCGACGTACTTCGCCGAGGAAGTCGAGGTCGTGCGCGCCTCCCTCACCGACGCCCAACTCTCCCTCCCCCAGTACGCCGCCGACAACCACGCGGCTTGGGCGACGTATTTCGAGCGCCGCCAGCAGCAGCGCTTGGCGTCCATCAACGGCGCGCTGGTGGTTGGCGGCCGGCAGAACAGCGAGGGGCGCCGCCAGCAGCAGCGCTTGGCGTCCATCAACGGCGCGTCGGTGGTTGGCGGCCGGCAGAACAGCGAGGGGCGCCACCTGTGGTGGGGCGTCCCCGGCCGCACACTCGAGGGCGTGCTGACGTATCTCGAGGGCGGCAACGACCCGCCGTTGGCGTACCCGGCGAGGGCGGCCGCCCCGGTGCAGCACCGACGCGCTGGGCCATGGGCGCCAAGGAGGTTCGGGTCCTCCTCCTCTTCTTCCTCCTCCCGATCTTTATCACACTCCTCCGGCACTCCGGCCCTGCTCGGCGTCAAGACCGAGCCCGCGGCGGAGACGCCGCTCGGCCGGCGCACCCGCAGCGCCGGCATCGTCATCAACGAGGGCGGCCGGCGCGCCTCCTCGTCGGCTCCTCCTCCGCGCTTCGTCAAGCCAAAGACGGAGCCGGGGCTCGCGCCGGTGAAGAAGGAGCCGGCCGCGCCGGTGACGACGGAGCTCGACGACGACGAAGTGGCCCTGGAATGGGCGCGCAGGGACTCCATAGCGATGGAGAAGGAGCGCCTGGAGAAAGCGAAGGAGCGCCAGCGCGCCGCCCTGCTTCGCTTCGCGGAATGTCGACGCGGCCATGACGAAGGCGGAGTTGTCGTCATCTGCGACAGCGACGACGACGACGACGATGCGCCGCCACCAGTCCGCCATGGCGACGCCGGGCAGGGGTCCAGCAGGGGCGCCCGCGTCAAGGAGGAGAAGGCCGACGACGACGATGGCGGCGACGGCAGCGACTTCAGCCAGTTTTTCCTTTAGATTAGTTTGTGTATATGTGCTATGCAATGAAAATCCGCGAACTTCGCCGAAATTTATCGTGTTTGGCCGAAATTTATCGTGTTTGGCCGAATTTTATCGTGTTTAAGCCGAACTTCGCCGAACTTTTTTTTATTTTAAAACGTGCCTGGGGCGGCCCTGGGGCCGGCGGCTGAGGACCAACTCGCCCCCAGGCCCAATTTTTGCGCCGGCTCACCCCGAGGCGGCGATTTTAGGCGCTCCCTGGGGGGCCAACGGCTGAAGATGCCTTAAGACACAAATGACAAGGAGGCAGGACAAATAGCACCAAAGCCGTGTCTTTATGGAGTAATAATGTAGTCGCATAGCACTAACAGTTTAGTTGTATCTATACCAATTTGGCTCGGGGTATTTTGCTATACTTGGAACACTTTGTAGTTAAGCTTCTTTAGAGCAACTATAGCAGAATTGTCATATCAATGTTGATCGGTATAAATAACCGTTGATATAGTGATTTTGGCTGAAAAGTCCATTTTAGTAGAGTTGTCATACGCTCCTCGTCCGCAACCACTTGCGCGGGAGAGAAATTCCAGACCACTTGCGCGGGAGAGAAATTCCAGACCGACTTCTTCCTCCCGCGCATAGCACGGTCAATGGCGTCGCCGTCACTGCCTCTTTCATCCCCGCCAATGTTGCAATCTCTTTTCTACCGAGAAGAGCGCTAACTGATGGCCGATGCCGCGTTTCACAATCGTTTCCCCTTTGCTGGCGGACAATTTTCCCTATGTTTCCCACCGAGTGTGGCCATTCACGGGTATATATACCGCATGGCCCCCTTCCTCGGCCACCACCCCTACCCCTCTCTCCCTCCTTTCTCCGTCGCTGAGGGAACCAAGAGATAGAGGCAAAAATATTGAACACCACTATTTTTGTAAAAATAACCCCATTGATCATCTTGGTGCTACCGCGCTCTCCAGGTGGACCTTTC